CTACATACAGAACATAGAGCTAGAGTTTATAATTTAATGCAGAAATTTTACATATTATAGCTTAAAAACCAGGAAAGGACAACACTTATGTTACGATATCCAAAATCTAAGTCTAAAGTCTATTGTCTCATATCACGATATCAATATAACATTGATTTATTTCTCAGCCTTAACATCTATGAACATCTATAAAAATATTTATAAACTGAAATGTATTGAAGATTTTTATCAACTATTTAAGTGTATAAGCATTCCAACACAATTGTTATTATTGTATTCTGTAGTATGCGCTGACAGCTCCATCAAGAACCTCAGCATGATACAAATGAAGTTAGTGGATATATTAGCATATTGTCAGCCCTCCAGCACATGGCTGTTGTCCATGTTTCACATCTGGCATTTTAATGGAATGCTAAACACAGATGTGAATTTCCCTTTAACAAGGAGGCACCTATAGTGCAGTCCAATAAAATGCCTCTTTTCTATGATTATTAATAAACGCCTGGATGGTTATGATTAGGATCAAGGATGAATAAATGTGTGTAATGTCAGCTGATGTGACGAGTTATAAGAACCACATGTGCGTGTCTGCCCGCCTTACACCCAGAAATAGAGGTGAAAAACTGCATTTGATGAATGACAATTTTCGCTTCTTTAATTAGAAAGTCTGGAAATTGCCTTCATGTCTCTTTGCTAGGACACCCGTAAAAGAGCGCACTTAGCATCAGCTTGACAGTCATTCTCTTGGCCCTCTGTCATTCTGTCACATTGGTTCCCCAAATAGTAATTATACCTCCTGCCTCATGTCACAAAATGTGTGTGTGTGCACGTTTCTGTGTGGGTTGATGAAGGAGAGACACAGTAAGAGGAGACAGCAGAGAAAGGCAGATTAATCTCCAGAGTGGAAGGGATAACGGTTTTATTAAGTTCATGTGTGAAGCAGCCGGTTGTGCTGTCAGTTGTAGTCGGGATTGAGACGTCCACAAAACAGTGTATTTGTGTGTGTGTGAAAACCATAAAGAGTCTGCAAGTCACAGAGCTCTGTACTCCCAACATGTTCAACACTCTTGAGCTTTCGCATCCATTCTGAAAGGGAATTTTAATTGGATACTTCATTAATCCACAGAGGGAGATTCAGTTTTTATTCTCCCTCAGGGAAGTCAGGGCAGCATCCAGCTGATGGGATTCAGCATATTACTCATAGATACCTCAGCAGAATGGGTCCATCACTTGACACAGCTGCTATAGAGGCCATTTTGACCACTCACTTTATATTTCTCAATTTGGATCTCTTTCACACTCACATTGATTGTATCACAGGCATAACTTGGTAAGGCTACGAGTCAGCCATGATTTCACAAACGCAACATTCATTTATCTGAATTACCCACTGTTGAGAATTTGAAGCATTACAGTTTTGGCCAGGGGTGTGTCCAGACTTTTTTGACGAGTGGGCCACAAGTGGGGCTCTGACTTATATAAGAAGTATGTGCTTAACTTTCCAATCATTCCCCATAACCAATTCTGCCCTGTGGAAAAAAGTGGTAGTGTTTCTACCTTCTTGTTCAAATGATTTCAAGGGGAATCCGACAGGTGGCAGGCATTAAGAATAACTATACAGAAATAGCCAATCCTCTCACTGATAATCTTGTTTGTTTATGTAGGTCACATACGTAGAGACATCAGTATGTAATCCTATGATCGATTTTCATGAAATCAATCCCCATTTTTGATAATATTTATGGTCGGCCATTTATTGAATCATGCTGTATTTATCTATGTAGTAGTTTTTATTGTTAGTGGTGGAGTCCGCCATTTCTATACTGGACTCAAATTGCCTTTACATGGGTTCATAGGAAACAATGCATATACAGTATTGGATCAGAGCTGAGTGATTACACTCATATATTTTGTTTTGAAAACCTCAATTTATATGCTTTGAAACTTGCAACTTCAGAAATAATTTAATTAATTTGAACTTTATTGAACTTTCTTCCTTGGATCATGTGACTGAGTAGCAGAATTGAATTTAACTAAATATCAGCAATAGGAATCTAGTTTTTTAGAAAATTAGATGCTTTAATTCTCTACTTAAATTTGAGTGCAACTTTAAATGACCTTCCGGAATTTTCAAATAGGGGAATTCATACCACATACTTAAGTCAGAAAATTTGATTTTAAAGCAAAATATTTAAATGCTATGAACTCAGTGGCATCTAAATTTCAGCATTAAAGCCCCCCTCCTGTCATAATCAGTGTTTGTTCTTGTTCCTACATTGTGCTGTTTGAATGCTGTCTGTGCAGAGTTTGACACTAGAAGGATGTTTTCACATTCATCTGCTGAAAGTGGAAAGTTTCTCTGTGCTTTTAAGGAGAAATTTCTTGTGTCATTGAAATCTGACTTTAAGGGGCGGGGCCTACCAGCAGGATTTGTGACATCACAAATAGTCAGGAAGTCAGTCCTGGTCCAGTATGCAACTTGCACAGTGTGATGTAGAAACTTGAAGCCACCAGTGCACATCCACTGACAATGGACTTCAGGTCATCTTGTGTCCAGCAGGAAAACTTTATATTCAGAGATTCTGGAAGTTTTAATGAGGCAGAAGGAGGAGATTACTTTATAAGGACTTAATTATACTTTTTTTTGTGGAAAAAACATATCAGACACACATTATTGTTCTAAGCAGACTATTTGGACTATGACCTTTTTTTTTACTCCATAACACCTCCCATTAGTTTGCATAAATTCAAAATCTATGCACTGAAGTTGTAGTATAAGAGAATTTGAGTGTTTTTGTTTTTAGGATGAATAAACCACAATGGGTACAATGGGACTGAGTTGGTATTTTTTTAATTCGGATAAACTGACCACAAGAACGGTCAATGACGTTGTTAGAGCCTGGCACAAACACCGAAGGACTTATATGCACGTTTGAAGTTGTGGATTCATCATTGTGGACTATGAGAAAAATGTATGCAGGCATTGCAGACATATGCAGAGCAACCACAGTGCTGTTTTGACACAATCGTTTTTTCTTCAAAACATCGGATATGTCATTAGTAACGTTATACCACAGGCAAAAGCGTCAGTTTCCAAAAATCCGGCATGATAGTAGCTATAGTTTCAATAATGTTGACAGGAACATTACAAAGATCCAAATAGAATAGATTATTTAAAAAAATTTAAAATAATTGCCTTGACAGTCTTTTCACAGTCCCACCCAGGCGCTGGCTTGACCTTTCTCCTTGCTCTTTTCTCATCCTCAGAGCTCCTTTTACACCATCTGCCACTACTCTTTCATTGTCCACCTGATGAGCTCTCCTGTCAGCATCGCTCATGTTTTACACAGCGAGATGAAAGTCTGCAGGGAGTGTGTAAAATGTTATTGGGTGAATAAGCACAGCGCAGGTGCTTCTCTATAGATCCACCACATGTCCGGGGCTCATGCGGACCCCGCTCGTTCTCATCGGGGCCTCGTTCCTTTCCCATGCTGCTTCTTTTACAAGCCGTGTTGTTTTGTTGTCAAATGCATAGTGGGGTTTTTATGGAGCTGGCAGAAAGCTGTTACAGATATTTGTAATGAGCTCTCACACTGTGGTTTGTGAGCATGTGTGGTATGGATTACAGAGGCCTGTAATGAGTGCAGTGCGTCTCTGCAGTGAGGAGGGTCTGTCTGGCCCATGGGAGCAGCAGTTTGTGGTGTCTGGCCTTGTGTGCTAGAGAAATATGCTCTGTATGGTTTGCACTGATTGGATGCACATAATGGAGAGTGTATAGTATGTTGTGTCCGAGTCTCAAGGCCTATGTGATTGCTCCAAACTATCACTCCCATGACAACAACAAGCATCCTGAGCTGCTGTCACTCCTACAATCAACCAAAAAGCTCTGGATAGCTTCAGAGTAAGGCCCAAGGTCAAAGAGGATCCTGGGTCTTGAGAGTCTTGAGGGTTTGGGAGGGTTGCTGCTCCCTGCTCAGCTGCACTCCTCACAGTTACACGCTAGGATGTATCTGTAAGTGGCCGTAATGCGAGTCCCGCCAGCGCAGCGCAGCCTCACCGCCTTCAGCTTGGAGGTGTGTGGCCGGCAGCAGGAGCAGGTGCTCTTGAAGGGCTGTTTGAGCACTGAGCTGAATGAGATGAGGGGGTCAGAGCGGGTGGTGTGGCTGCAGTGGCCCTCACAGCGTGCCAGCAACACCATCTGGAACACAGAACAGCAGAGTAAAGGGAGTACAATGAGTCAGTAAGTAATTTATATAGCACTTTTTAAAACTTAAAGGGTAAAAAACAAAGACAGGGAAGGAGATCTATAAAAAGCATTGCTTACAGAGATGGGTTTTTAGAAGCCACTTAAAACAGTCCAAAAATTCAGTAAATCTGAGCGATTAGGGAAGATGATTCCAGAGGATTGAGGCTCTGTCTTGTATTTGGAGCAGGGGGGATGGATAAAAGGTCAAGATTTGAGGATAAAGTGGAACTGAAACGGAAGCGATGACCACCTGTGCCTACAACAGTATGCACTGCTAAACAATGCAAGAAAAGAAAGTAGGAAATGTTACGAACAAAAGGTTTGGATAAAGCAACGCGTTCATATGTGGCCATTACCTACCCTAGCTTTAAAGGCCTGGCAGCTTTGATCAGCTGTAAGCAATTTAAAGAAGAAGAAAAGGAAAAGTGTGAATTCCATAGGAGATTTGTGATATGTTGTAGCTGAAGAAAACAGGACTGGATGTGATTAGTAACATGTAGTCAGAGATGTAAGAGTGGTATACTGAATTGGTCAAAGATACCAAGATTCTCAGTGGTAGGTAGCGAGCAAAATGGTCCACAATCGCGTTTTTTTATGATGTTCAGGCTCTGCCAGTGATGAGGAAAGGGTCTCTGGGTACACTGTAGGGCTGTGTATTGGCAAGAATCCGACGATATGATACGTATAATGATACAGGGTTTACAATTCAATATATTGTGATATATTGCAATACTGTAAGCTAGGTGATATATTGCAGTAGAAGTAGATTTTTTGTATTTGCATCACAGTTGCTGTAACATCCAACATCATAGTCACAAAAATCATCACAGAATAAATACAATATCACAAAATAAAATATTGCAATATGATATTTTTAATATTTTTTTACACCCCTAGTGCAATGAGATAGTGTTGGCTGTGTGTTGAGGCTCAGAATGTCTCCTGAGTCTCGCAGCCAGCCCCAGCCTTGCACCTGCAAACTGAGAGATAGCTACGAGACCAGTCCCTCACTCCTACACTTGCTGCTCAGAGCTCAGGTTCACACGCAGCCATCCGAACAGGCTATCGCTGGAGTACATCGCCGGTTGGTATTTTTGGGTGATTTTGGGACACACACACCAACGCTAATATAGCAGCGATCACCGGTTGTTGGGCTGACGTGGCCGGTTGGACAGTTTTAACATATCGCCCATTCCTAATCCAGAGTCATCTATGTGGCTGCATGTAACTATCCTGTGTTTATACTTGTGGAGGGAACAAAACCACTGTATCAAGCTTTCCCCAAGTCTGACCATTCAGCTCACACTCACTCACACACACACAGCACAGGCCTGATTAGTGTTGTGTTCGGCCCACTGGCATTCCTCTGTGGGTCACTACATTCCTGTCGCCTCCCTAAACAGACTCCTGTGTCATGTCCTTCTGTCAGCTGCTGTTTGTCGCCACCCATGTACCCACTTTGACAAAAGCCTGTCTGGGGCCATGGCAGGGTGACACACACGTACACACACATACACACACACACACACATCAGGAGTGTTGTCGCCACTTTAAGACCATTTGTCTTTGTCCTAGCTGAGGATCAGGTTGTCAAACAGAGAGTCGTCTCCTGTGACGCCCCTCTCCTCCTCTGCCCACCTCCTCTCTGTCGGCACCTTTCCTGCTCCTCCTTTCATTCATGAGCAGCTAGATAAAAAAAGATGATACGGTTGATGGTTATTCACCACTTCATGTAAGCGATGAGTGGAACTTTCTAGTAGTGGCATCAAAAGCAGGGTATGTCAACATATTCCCGTTTCTGGACTGTTTTGACTGGGTTGGCACAATTGGGTCTCTGACTAAGCAGGTTAAGTATTAAATATGTGTCTCAGCTTTCCATTCATTCCCAATTTACACAATTCCAACACTGTTTATGAACCCCAGTAAGCAGAAATATTCAAATACACTAGGCGAAAAGACCACATGTATATCACAAGCAGAAAACTGCATGAGATTAGCAAACAGGGGGCATGTCTGTAAAGGAGAGATTTGTGGGTACCCATAAAACCCATTTTTATTCAGATATCTTGAGGTCAAGGGATCCCTTTGAAAATGGCCATTGCTAAAAAGTTTGCCTAAATTTGGAGCGTTATTTAGCTCCTTCCCGACAAGCTAGGTTAACATGGTACCAATGGATATGTTAGGTCATATAGTTTCATATGATACCAGTATCTTCACTTTAGTTTTAAAACGGAGACCACTACAGCCTCTGAAAGACGGTGTGGAGTGGAAGAGGGAAGGGTTAACGGGGTGCCAATTGGAGTGACCAATCAAATTTCAGTGGTGGTCAGTAACACTACTGTTTTTCTCTGTTTAATGTGTTTAAGTTGTTTCATATCACTTTAAACTACCACTTCATAAACAATTAAAACATAAATACAATCATATTTTAGAAATCTGTTTTGTTTGGCGCAAAGAGCAGGTTTCAGGGCTTTAAAAACAAAGACGTAGATGTAGTAATGTAAGTATTTTCAGAATATTGCTCTTTTTTGTAGAACTTCAACATTGAAGTGTCCCTCCTATGAGATGACAATACCAGCAGTGGCCCCAAGACAATTTAAGTTTCTCCTGTTCAGCTATCTATACACAAGTTTGCAAAGATCACTTTTCTCATAAACAAAGTTGAGATATTTATAACTGCTGGCTGTGACTTAAAGGCAGTGGCTGAGTGGTGTCGAACGAACAGCAAAAGCCACATCAGGAAAGCAAAAAGCCAGAAGTGAGGCAGTGGTAACAGCCTATCCATTATCCAGGCCCTTAACGCCCCCCATCAAATAAAATTTAAATACTTTCCTAGATATTGATGATTATTGCTATTCTGTTGATTTTTTTCAATAATAATAATAATAATAATAATAATTTAAAACAAAAATTCAAATTAGTTTTTTTAATTAATTTTGTAACTAAGACTAAGAACTAAGAACTAC